CAAAACAAACTAAAGAGACTCAAAATAGCACAAAATAATCAAATAAACTCAAACTAGACACTAAAGGGTGATTTGGACGAAAATTAATTTTAACTTGACTCAAAACACTTAAAAACACAAGTTTGGACATATTCTAACTAATTTGACACAACAAAGTAAAAGGGATTGGGTTTTTGACGAATTTAAAGTAAAGGCAAGTAGATTAAAGACTTAAACAAGTTTGGCACGAAATTGGGGGAAATCATGGGTGATTAGCTAGCTAGAGGGTCCTTCTCCACACATGACACACTTGCATACAAATCGATTTCCAATTGCTTTTCCAATAAACCTTGAACCTCAATGTCCCAGATTAACCGTGAACAGCACTAATTAACCCTCAAATTTTCCTTAAGTCATTGAATTGGATGGAATATGCATTAGCAACCAAATTGTTCTTCAATAGTTCCCTACATGAACAACATAATAGAGATACAATCAAAGATCATTAAGCTTTGTGAAAATCATAAGCATTGACAAGGTATTCGTAACTATGAACAACATGATACTCCTGCCAGGAATTTACTTAACACAATTGTGACTAGCAACCTCCACTACTTGCAAATATAAGTTCATAACAATTAGGTGAAAATCCCTTATATTTTAGCATCAAATTCATGCATGCAAACTAAGTGTGCACCCTCAATCAACATACAAGAATAAGTTCTGAATCAAACAGTTAAGCAAATTGCATTCACAATTTATGAAATCACAACTGGAAGTAATCAATTCATATTGCAAATATGTTCATGGCTTTGAATTCTTCTCTAGCTAAAACTGGTTTAGCTCCTCATGTTCACAATTAAATTAAACATTGAAAACAAAACATTGAATACACCTAGAAACGCTCCAACAATCCAAAAGTTGAATGGCAGGCATGGCTTCAAGGGTCTTCTTTCCTTTTTCCTTGAAAAGTTGCAGCACAAGGTTGGTTGTGGCTGAAATTGGGTTATGGTGTGTGGTGGATAGGTGGATAGGTGGTGTGAATTATGGTGATGGATGGATGATGGCTAAATTGAATGGTTGAATGGGTGAATGAATGGTGAATCGTTCTTTGTGGCATAAACATATATTTAAAGGGAGAAAAGGTTAGGCATTAATTAAATGCTTTTGGGAAAGATTTGGACCCAAAATCCTCAAGGAAAAAGGCTAATTAAATCAGAATCCAATAGGGAAAAGGGTAACAAGGGTGTGGCAAGGAAAGAAAATAGGAAAGATGTTTGCCTTGCACGACATGGGAAAGGGAAAGGGAAAAGTGGTGCGGCATCCCCTTTAGGAATGGGGTTTAGGCTTCTAGAACCATATAATTAAGTCTCCTAATATAATTAGGGATCCTCTTGGTAGCTGGAACATAAGTAGGAAAAGATTAGGATTGACTAAGTCAAAATAAGGTAGTTTGACTCATGTTTCCTTCTTTGTAGCCGATTCCTTGTCTTCCAAGTCTTGAATTAATTTCTTCAACTCTTTAGCATATTCCTAGCCTCCTTTGAACTTCAAATTCAGTCCATCCACCTTACTCCAAGCATGTGCTATCCATTCTAAGCCCAAAACTGCTCCAAATTGCACTTTCTTGCTACTTTAGCCCTTTGGACCTACAAACACACGAAAATAGCTTAAAATACTAAAATAACTAGAAACTAACAACATAAATGCAAGAAAACAAGCTAACTAAGTCGCATAAATATACTCCTATCACTTTTATAAACAATTCCTTAACAAAACTTAGGGATAATTAACATGAAAATATGAGAAATAATGCACCTATCACTAACTTCATGGAAGTTTCTCTACAGTTCTACTCATGTTACATATGCAAAATTTCAGCTACAGTCAAGAAGAGTAGGAGTTGAAGAAAGACATGAAAAGAAGGATGAGGAAAGGGGAAAAGCTAGATACATAATTTCATGCCTTGTTGCCTTTGAGACATATATTTTCACTCATACGGTTCTCTTCACTAACAGGGATGGCTATTCATTTCTAATAAAAACAGGTTGCCTGACAAAGATGGACGAGACGATGGTATTATTATATAGAGTGGTTAATGATCAACACTTTATCTGATGGTATTATAAATTATTACCTTGCTTCGTAACTATTTGATTTATATGTTGATATCTTGAGCATGTGATTATTAATATCAACATCACATTACATATGCATAAACATCCTAAAGCAAGAAAACCAATGTTGTGTTTAAGTGCTCAGCTGTGTGGGGTTGTGTAAATGCTTGAGTTGTGAAGATATTCAATGGCTAGAAAATGCCTTGAACACAAAATAATGAAACCTTGTATGTGTCAAGCGTCAAGGGAAATGCTTGAATATACAATTGGGCGTTAGGGGAAGTGCCTATATAACAAAGTGAAATTGAGAATTTAATTATAAAAATTAGGCTTAAAGGATGAATGGGGGTTAACTCATATTCCCATCACCTTCCACCTCCAGTTGCACCCACAGACCTCAGATCTTCGATGAAATTCGACGAGGAGGGAGTGATAGAGAGAGAGGGAGAAAGAGGAAGGGAGTGAAAGAGAGAGAGGAGGGAGAGAGAGGGAGGAGAGAGAGAAGATCTTCTGCTGAGAGGAATGGAGGGGGAGAGAGAGAGAGAGCTGCAGAGAGTGAGATCGAAGAGAGAAACCAGTCTGCAGATAAGATATAGAGAAAGGTGGGGTACTGGGGTAGGTGCAGCTATATTTTCTTAGGGTTAGTAGGTTTTCTTTTATTAAAAGTTTATGGACTTTTTTTTCAAGATTTGTAGCAGACCCAATTTTAATTATTTTTAAAGAAAACTAGGCCCAATAATAATTATGATCTTAGAAAAACTATAAAGTTTTATACAATACTTATATTTTACAACAAATAGTTATTTTTGTAAATTTTGGATTTTATTTTTTTCAATAAATATGCTTTTTTTTTCTTTTTTGGTGCGAACATGGACTTGTTTATAAAATTATACTATAAATTTATTTGAAAAATATAAATCGGCCTAGCTACCTAGGTGCTAGGCCCCAACCCGTTGCCCAACTAGTGCCTAGTGTCTTTTAGAACCATGATTTTATGTAGTAAACTCAAACGTTTATTATGTAAATTTTTGTTATACGATGTATTGTGTAATTATTACAAATAATTTTGTTTTATTTTCCACCATGTCTTGGTTATAGAATAGCTAAGATATGACTCATACCCTAATTCGTGAATCGTCCTTATTCACGGGTCGTGGTGTGATAGCAAGCTACATTACTTCTTGGCATTCTTCGAGAACAGAGTGTGTCCTTCCCCTTAACGACGGGAAGGTTGACTCATCAAAGTCACAATCCACCAACCAGGTAGTATCCTTCAAGGGTCTCAATAACGTATAATTGAAGGAGACACATAACTGACCTAAATCTCTTTCCTTCCTTGAGGGTCCACTTTGGAACGTTGCGGAGGTGTAATCGGCACATGTACAACACGCGCAAATGCGAGACCTCTAGCTCGTACCTGGTCACCAATTGTTGTACAGGAAAAAGTTGGGTGGCAATGGGTCTCATTACCAAGGTTTACATGGTATGGTTAACTTGATGTGGCTACCCTCGCAAATTACAAATATCCCTAATTCAATAAAGAGAATCAGTTGTCTAATCAGTTGAAGAATCAACGGCCTATTCATTTGAGGAATCAATGGCTCAATGATTACACCAATTAGTGGACGAACATAATATCCTACAACAATCACACTTTCTTTTTCTCTTATTGGACTCATTTTATTTTTTTAGTTAATTTGAATAAATAAAGAAAATTAACAAACAAAACAAATGAAGAAGTTTAAAATGACAAAATTTGAAGAGATCACAAATGACACATCATATTTTTATATATAAGATAATGACAGACCTCTTTTAATTAATACATGGAATAGGTTTATTCACCGAATGGCATAGTTATGCAAATGTTAGATTTTTACTTAATAAACAATTGAGATTGAAAGTGAGTCGGTGAACAAAATTTGGTGAGGAAGAGCACTATGGTTGTACATTATTCCTTTGATAAGACTCAAAGTAATGTCAAGATCTGCCACGAAGTATTACAGGCTTAAAGTAATGTTGAGTTACTACGTAATATATTCTTCTTTACTTGTAAGTATAATTTTATTTTCGAATCTCATGATGATGAATTTTATACCAATTCATAACCTTACCGTTTAGTTTAGATTTATATCATTATATTAAAAATTAATAATTTACAATCATATCATTTTATTAACAAAATGATATATGATTGTACAGTACTCCCTTAATTTAGTGTTATAGGAATACACTAGCAATTGATACCCGCGCATTGCTGCAAGCTAAAAATTTGTATGAAAGGCTGTTTACAAAATATAAAAGATTAATATTGTTTATATTGACAGCATTAAGAAGATTTTCACATACCAAAAATTTGATTGATACGGATCACATACAAAAGATCGTAGATTAGTTTTTAAGTGGATGGCAAAAAGATTAGATGTGTGCTTATGTAAGTAGTTTTTGTGGCTTTTGATTCAATAGTAGGACTTGTATATAAAAGATTGTGAAATACATGCAAAAAGGTATCAGAAAGTATTGTTTGATTTACATTGATAACAGATGATAAAAGTTGTTCACCAGAATGTCAAAAGTTTCCCCGTAGTATTCTTGATTGCCAAGAAAGCAGCCTAGATATCAAGAAATTTATAACATCTAATTTAACAAAATTCATTGTTTTGTCTATATGAATCCTAGAATGTCATTGCACTCGGTTCTGTGTCACGTCTTCTGTTAGATCCAAGTACTTTTAAGTCTTTTTCTAATAGAAAACTGTAAAGGATGTAAAGTAGACATGAAATGATAACTTTATTGGTAGAATGAAAAGCATGTCTACTCTAAACCACATCTTTTTCACTAATAACATCTTACTTTTTTTTTTTTTTTTTTTTTTCAAAGAAATGCAAACAGACATTCTAGTAATTTTCTTCAAAGGTCAATTCTTTTTCTAAAAGAAAACTGTATGTTACACAAATTTATTGAATTAGAATCAAACTAATGAGATTACAGCCAAAATTTAAAACTAATGCACAAAATATATTCGAGAGGCCAAAAAAATATAAAAGTAAATAGGAAAAAAAAGTTTAAATGTCGAAACATTTTGTTATACTAAGGCCGTAAAGCCCTTGGATAGCTTGAAAATCTTTACCCTTATTCATTCTTCACTCTCAGTGTACTATGCTACACATTAACACAATAAAACATAATCAAATTATTAATTTGCGAAACAATAAGAAATGGGAACTGTTACTTTGCATTCTCATTATTGCAGATACCTAAGAAATTAATATAAATCAAAAGATGACAAACCTATTACTTTGCATTCTCTTTATTGCAGATACCTGATAATTCCCATCATTAGAAACTCTTACTTCGTAAAAACCATATGTATGTAACCTGTAAGAAAGTAATAAGAAATGAACTAAACTGTCACTCAAGAAGAAGAGTAGAAACAAATCCATTAGTTTTAAGTATCGTAACACAAAACAACCATCAACCCACACCAGGGGTAAACTACCCATCCTGGCATAACTCCAACACCGCAAGAAAGATGTTAATAAAATATTAGTTCCAATACATCATATTTGCTACTATCATTTTTAGGATTCATGTGGTTTTCCATGAATTGTAAAGCATGTATATACAAAGTGAGGTTTGCCAATACCCCCACCTATTTCCAAGTGTGCCCTGGTGTGTTTTTTCCTCTGAAACATGCAGTTTTTTGTTTTTTTTTTCTTTTACCTGTATTATTCCCACCATCAACCAAAATGGAAGGAAAATTGACAAAAAAAAGCTATCCTAATACCTTTTAGGAAAACTTCAACCACAAAATAAGGACTGCATTTTGAACCTATGAAAAGAAGAATAACCTAAAATACATTCACGATTATTACCTGAAGCTTTCTAGCTTTCTCTAAAGCTTTCTGCCTTATCAATTCCTTTTCCCTTGCCTGCGTAAATATTAAAAAGTTTAAATCAAGTTCTTCTGAAAATTAAATAATTCACATAATTATGTAAAAGAGCATCTTATTATTTTGAAAGCAGTTCAGGTGGGTTCTATACCAACGAATAGCTTGAAGCATATCAAAGTTAATAAGTCTTAAGAGGGGTGAATAAAAACTAAGCAAAGAGAGAAGGTATTGAATGATCAATGATAAGAATTTGGTCACCTTATTTGATCAATGCCAATGATCCTGAAGCGAGTGTCAGGTGCATTAAAATTTGTATAGAACAAAGCTTGAGAAGCACACATCTATGAATGTGTGAACACGAAAAATTCCTAAAAACAAGAAACAAGAATAACGCGTACAAAATAATATTTTTGTTGTTTAATGATTTTGGGGTTACGATCTCTTTGTAATTTGATCCTCTGATTCTATTTCCGTAAGATGTAGATTTGTTGATCCAAGGGCCGTCGAGGCTTGATCTTGGATGAACAGTTGTAAGTTTCTTCAAGGGCCTTTGTGGCTTTGATCTTGAAGGTTGATGGAAGTTTCTTCAAGGGCCTTCAGGGCTTGATCTTGAATGTTGATGGATGAGTGGATCTTCAAGGGCTTTTGGGCTTAATCTTGAAGAACGATTGGATGTGTGGATTTGTTGAGATTGTTGATCCAAAGGGTCGTTGGGGCTTGATCTTAGGATGAACGGATGATGACTTTCTTCCAGGGCCGTCTAGGCTTGATCTTGAATAATGGTTGTGTGGATTTCTTCAAGAGCTTTTGGGCTTGATCTTGAAGGTTGATGGATGAGCGGATCTTCAAGGACTTTTGGGCTTAATCTTGAAGAACGATTGGATGTGTGGATTTGTTTGTGCTGTTGATCCAAAGGACCGTTGGGGCTTGATCTTAGGATGAACGATGAACACTTTCTTCAAGGGCCGTCGGGGCTTGATCTTGAGTTGGTGGAAGTTCTTCAAGGGCCGTCGGGACTTGATCTTGAAGGAGGATTTGACGAAGAACGAAGAGTGCTTTCTCCATTCTTCGGGATTCTTGGGAATTTGGGGGTTGGATGCTTGAGAGCTTTAGAGTTTCAAAGCTTCAAGGATTTTGGATGTGTGGGGAGTATTCTCTTCCATTTTGGGAGTAGAGAAATGTATTTGTGAATTGGTCTTTGTTTGTGAATTGGTGTTGGTCTGTCTAGAGAAATGTATTTGTGAATTGGTGTTTGTGTGTTTGGGAATTGGTGTTGGTTTGTGAATTGGTTTTTGTTGTGAATTGGTCTTGGTTTGTGAATTGGTGTTTGTGTGTGTGTTATCTTCCAATTTGGGAGTAGAGAAATGTATTTGTGAATTGGTGTTTTTTCCTCTTGATGGAGAAGCCTATTTATAGGCTTTGAGAGTGAATCACCACCATCCATTTTTTTGGTGAAGTGAGTGGATGTTGTAGGTGATAAGAGCATATTTAGGCAACTTAGTTGGCTTGTTCTTGTGCATTTACGTTGTTATTTCTTAGTTCTTTAAGTCTTTTAAGTTATTTTCGTATGTTTTCAGGTTCTAAGGGCTAAAGGAGTAAAGAAGTGCATTTTGGAGCCTTTTGGAGCACTTTTGGGCTAAGGATGCATAGCTTATGCTTGGAGCCAAAGTGTTGGGCGAAATTGAAGGCCTTGTATGCACTTTAGGACATAAAACAAAGGGCCCATTTTATGCACTTAAACCCTAGCCCTTTAACCTTGCAGCCCTATTCTGATTTATTCACTTTCATTCATATTTTATTTCACCCTAATTCACCCTCACCGTCACCCCACAATCATCTCAGCCATACCTTTTATTTTTACCCTAAGCTACAAGTCGTCACTTCTCCTCTTTCATTCTATTCTATCATTTCAAATTTCAATTAGCCATTCACCCTAATTCCCTCTCAGCCGCAAGTCCCCATCCATATTTCACCCTAAGCCTTCTAAAAACCATCTCAGCCATTCACCCTAATAATCCTAGTTCCACAAGAAGCCGCACCATATTCATTCACTTCTCATTCATTTTATTCAGCCACCTTCACACACAAAAACCCCAAAGCCGTTACCCCCATTCTTTCCCCCTTCATTATTGCAGCCACTCCATTCCACACCTCCATACACCTTTTACCCTCCATTGCAGCCACCAACCAACCTAGCTGTCACCCACATGCTCTCCCATCATCATTCCCTCTTTAATCCATTCAGCCACATGCTTTCCCATTTCATTATTCAGCCACATCCATGCACTCTTCATGATGGCAGCCACATTCTCTCCCTAGCTGTCATTCCATTCATATTCCCTCTTTAATCATTCAGCCACCTATAAATAAACATCCATTGCAACCACAAAACATCCATTCATACAGACTTCACACCATCAAACAATCCTTTGAGCCGTGCATAACCCTCCATTCCAGCAACAATCCTTTGAAGCCGTGGATGCCCCTTCCATTTCCAGCACTCCCCATCCCTCCAAAACACTACCTTACCATCACACATCCATTCCTCCATACAAATACCACCCCAAAATCTGTCCTTAGACCTTGTGCCGCAACAAAGAGGAGGAGAAGAGGGCCTAAATGTTCATGCAATTCAAGTTGAGTTGCTGGAATTTTTAGGTGTTTCCTCTCCTTGATTTCAATGGTTAAATTTACTTATCTTTGTCTTGTACGTATAAGGAACTAAACCCCCTTTTGCTAAGGGTGGATTCGAAACCATGATTATATATGTGAAATAAGTTGATTACTTCCAGTTATCGTTGTATAAGTCATGAATACAATTTGCTTAACCGTTTGATTTAGAACTTATTCTTATATGTTGATTGAGAGTGCACGCTTAATTTGCATGCTTGAATTTGGTGCTAGGATATAAGTTTGTTTCACCTAATCGTTATGAATTTATATTCACAAGTAGTGAAGGTCACTAGTCACGATCATGTTAAGTAGATTCCTGGCAAGAGTATCATGCTTTTCATAGTTACAAATGCCTTGTCGATGCTTATGATTTCCAAAGAACGTAATGATTCTAACTTGTATCTTTATCATGCTGTTCATATAGAGAACTTGTTAGGAATAATTTGTTTGCGATGCATATTAATCCAATTCAATGATTCTAAGGAAATCTGAAGGTTAATTTAAGCGGACCTAATTAACTTGGAGTGTCGAGGTTCATAACTTATTGAATTGATAACTGGAAATTGATTTACGTTGCATATATTTCATGTGTGGAGAAGAACCCCTTAGCTATTCCATCATCCATTGGTCTATCACAATTTGTCTTACAATCTGTCCATTTAATTTAATTTCGTCCAAACACAATCCCCCCATATTTCGTTAAGTCTTAGTCATTACAATCTATCTTATTTTGTGTTTTTAAGTATTTGGAGTCTTGTGGACTTGTTTTGAGTTTTTGTTAAGTGAGTTAAGTGTTTTAAAGGTTAGTTTTATTTATTTGAGTCAGTTTAAAGTGTTTAGCACCCCTAATTAATCCCCGGTTAGAACGATCCCTACTTACATCATTACTACAATTGTCACAAATAGGGTTTAATTTGTGTGTCACATTCTTAACGCATCAAATTTTGGCGCCGTTGCCGGTGATTAGCAAAGTTGCTAATCCCTTGTCTTGAGTCTTGTTTAAATTGTTTGGTTTCTGTTTTGTTTTAAATTTTGCACCGTGTGTATGTGTTTTGTTTTTGTGTCGTGTGTGGCAACTTATTTTCTTATTTGTGCCGAGTCTATTAAGTTGGTTACTTATCTTGTTTGCTCTTGTGTGTAGGTACTAGTTTATGACCCGTAGCTCACAACCTGTTCGTGAGCATATCTCCGACTTTGATGGCGATTTCGAGAGGACTTTGAGAAGGAACAAGAAATTGCAAGAGTCTAATCCTCCTAGTCCCGAACCTGAAGTAGAAAAGCAAGAAGTTGAGGTTGAAGAGGAGACCACGACAAAGTTTGAAGAGGAAGTACCATGGCAGCGGACAATCGAACCATCAAGGAGCTTTCTGCCTCGGGTTTGGCCAATGCAGCCCCTCTTTGCATCCAATACCCCAATGCAGCCCCTGAGAAGACCGATGAGTTTGAGTTGAAGTCCAGTTTGCTACATCATATACCCAAGTTCCATAGGTTATCAATGGAGGAGCCCAATAAGCATTTAAAGGAGTTTGAAGTAGTATGCTCAAGTATGACACCGGTGAATGTGGACAGCAACATATTGAAGATGAAGGCTTTTCCTTTTTCTTTGTTGGAGAAGGCCAAGGATTGGTTGTATGAGTTGGCTCCCGGAACTGTCACATCATGGGAGAGTATGAAGCGAGCCTTCTTGGAGAAGTTCTTTCCGACATCACGAGTCATTCTTCTTCGCAAGAAGATTAGTGGAATTCAACAAAGCCAAGGTGAATCTTTTCCAATTTATTATGAACGTTTTAAAACTCTTGTTGCTTCATGTCCACAGCACCAAATGAAGGAGGAGCTACTTCTTCAATATTTTTACGAAGGTCTTTTACCACTTGAACGGCAAATGTTGGATGCATTCGCGGGAGGAGCTCTAGTGGACAAGACACCCAGGGATGCCAAAATTCTCATTGCTAATCGAGCACTCAATGCACAACAATATGAAGGTGTTGGGCAGAGAGACACCCTACGGCCACATCATGTAAATGAGGTAAGTTCTATTTGTGAGTTACAATCCCAAATGGCTAACCTTACGTCTATGTTGTCGCAGTTTGTTGAAGGCCCCAAAGCGCAAGGAGCTACAATCTGTGGTGTATGCTCCATTCAAGGACACCAATCTGATCAATGCCCTCAATTAATTGAGAATGGAAGGTGGGAATCTGCCAATACCGTGGGTTATGGGAATCAAAACCAACCAGGGGGTGATCCTTTCTCCAATACTTACAATCAAGGATGGCGTGACCACCCAAATTTCAGATGGAGAGATGCACAACAACCTGCCCAATAAAGTGGATTCCGACAATCCCCGGGTTTCTTTCCAAGGCCAATGG